CTAGTGCGTCTCGGGTAGTTTCCCAACATTAAACAAATGATGTGACCGGTTTTTTGGGGGGAGACATACGTCGAAGTTTAGAAGGTATGCAAAGTCCTGAATGAAGGCGTTGTTTCTTCTTTAGAATAAAAGATTTGTCTTTCGTAAAATTGTGTGTATTGGCCGGGTGCTCGAGTCATTTAGCCTTTATTATTGTTGAAGTTTGAAAGCTTGGCCTTCTTCAAAGGTTTGCAAGGGATGCAGACAACACCAAAGTGAGACCTGTTCAAACATTCCAAGATCATCACAGCATGCCCCATAGAGTAGCTCAGGGTATAACCCACTGCTTATGGAGCATTGAACCATATTAAACCCATTGCTGGTTGAAGCAGCATTGTCAGAATTGATTCAAGGTGATGGTTGAAGGTACTTTGGGCCTAGAGACAATGTAAATCGAGCATAAGTCATGCACGAGCTCGTTGAACAAACTGAAGAACTCGTTTTTCATCGCGGCCTTTCTGCGATTTCTGCTTGCGACAGGTGAGCAAAGGAACAGAATGATCGAGACGAGTTGCACCACAAAGCTTTGATCAACTAGAGCCGAGCAGAGACGAATTGGGCAGGAAACGCCACAAGATTCCCTTGGAGGTTCAGGTCTAGCAAAATGTAGTTGAGTGACAGGTGGGCTGGTTCACCAGCACGCTCGAACGCCATCTCTAACGTCAACGCAGTTGCGCATGCTCTCACCTGTGTGTTCACGTATGTGGCTCTTTAATGTATGCTCTCTCATGTATTGCTCACATGTGTGCTCTCATTTGATGGTGCTTTGATGCGTAAGAACCTTTACCTACCCCAATGTTTTGCAGCCAGAAGATGGGAGCATGCACGGAAAGAAGGTGCAGGCGCGTGGAAAAGCATCAACGCTGTGATTTGACAGAAACTTACCCAAACCTGTGCCGTTGCCTGTACTTCTCGAGATAACTTAAGTGTCCAATTTGTGTCCACATGTCACATGACTGTGAAAGAAGTCGGGCAGTGCACATCTAAGATACAAGTACTTAGGTGAAGATGCGGGTTGGAATCATAGTCAAGATCTCACCCAAAACTTCCGGTGCGTTTCAGATCACTAATCCATCATACTCCATTTATGAACAACAAAAGTTGCGATCATTGAAACTGACCGCCAGGTCTCATCCACAGGTGGAAGTTCTACGCCATCCTTCGGTGGCAGCGAGGCAACTGCTGGTTGTGGTCTCCCGCTTTTTCATTGTTGTTCAGCGCTTATATCCTGTAGACACGGTGGCTGGAGAAAACCCAATTTTGACCGTGCGAAGTCCGTTGAGGAGTTCGAGATCGAAGCTTCCAAAGAGGATCTTCGTGCAAGCCCAGACAGGACACCCGTGCCTTGGTCGCAACATATCGCAGCATGCAGCACAAACGTGTTTGAAGCAATGAATGTTGGCCACAGCCAACATGGTCGGTTCTTTCCATAACATCATGTGTTGCACCCATGCGGTTGCAGTGTAGGCTCCCTACACCGCACGTCAACGCCGACGTGATCGAGGAGAGCATCGGACATCTAGGGAAAGTCTCAGCTGTTGGACACAACATCACTGGGACAATTTGTCTATCTCCATAAACAATTGTATATTCCCCAAACAGTGTGGACACACTTAGGGGTTCTTACGGTAGGTGAAAAGCAGCTGATGCAGGCGTGACCGGCTAATTCGCTGCTATTTACGGTACATTCATGCCTCTAGGAATCCTCGAAGTGCATTTCGACTGCGCAGGCTCGCAGAATCTGGGTGTTTGCGGCGGGTGCTTCTAACGACTCCGCTCTCGTTATGGTGCCGTGCGCATTTTCGCACATGGAAGTGCAGATTTCGTGGCAGGCGCAGCACTTTGTGAACCTCGAAGTGCGGCAGGCGGCGCTTTGTGAACCTCGAGGTGCAGATTTCGTGGCAGGCGCAGCACTTTGTGAACCTCGAAGTGCAGATTTCGTGGCAGGCGCGGCACTTTGTGAACCTCGAAGTATTGCGTGGCAGGCGCGCCGATTTGCACACTGCGTGGCAGGCGCACCACTTTGTGCTCTCAGATGCTCACCTCTCGCTCGCACTCACACTCACATTAATATATTGGAAATGACTTGCTTGCGATCGGAAGGGCGGGCCAGAAACCAGTGCGATTTCCATGCTTCAATCTGGGTGTATGTAATCAGGAACGTCACCTAGCAGCCACCAGAACCATGAAACATGTTTAGGCTACGCCAAAGAAGAGCAGGAAGGTGCCGATTGGGCACGTTGTTGGTCGTTAGCCATTCAAGGGCTTTGTTTCTTTGAAGTGTCAGGATAATTGGGACAGATGACGACCAATGACCAAAGGAGGAAATCAAGTCTGTGCCCAAGCCGAATGTTGTTTCCTTTTCTTGACACTCTTAGCTGAATCTATTCTATGCAGGAGAAGTTTCGCGGAATGTTTCCCAATTGTGTAGTGCACTTCCGATTGTGAGCAGGATGCAACGATGATCAGCGTTGGCTCCAGTTTAAACACTTTAGTCCCCAGTGAGCAGATGGCAACAGTTGGCATGGAGCTTGCGGTGCCCGCACCTGCAGCCGCAGCCTCAATCGGTCATGGGATTCTATCTCTGACTGGAGCACCTCAAGATCCATTTGAGAGGCTAGATGCGACCATGGAGCCGACTCCTGAATGGGTGCATTTGCGCGGAGTGTTAGAAGAGAACCCCGCGTCCGTGCGCAACATCATTTCGCTTGCTTTGCTGAAGGAGGTTGCGCGCTCTTTTCAAAACGTGGCTGGTCAGCTTCAGGCCATGAGAGAAATCAAGGAGCAGTTTGAGAGGCTGCTTGAATCTGAAGAGGCTGCTTCCTTGGAGCATTTGATGCGTGACATTCCCCCCTCCGACATCCATGCCTTGGAAAGGGAAGCTTGCGGCATCAATGAAGACAGCAGGACTTTGAGGTCTGCTTTGGAGACTGGGGACATCAGCGGCTTGCACAGCAGGGCAAAGCGTATGGCTAACAAAGCCAGGCGATTCAGGGAGAAGCATGCACGGCTTCGTCCCAGCTTGGACAAGCTGCAGCGTGGACTGATGGACATTGCCAGCAAGTGTGCAGAAAAAGCACAGAGATCAGACGAACTGATAGCAGAAGTGGAGCAAAGGAAGGACTTTTGGTGGAACCTTCTGGTTGTGGCCAATTGCCTTGCATTGCTTGGTGGTGCGGGCTTCATCATATGTCTACTGCCCACCACATGCCTTTCACTGGTACATTTGCTGGCCAAAAGCTGGGCGATCGGTAAAGCCAAAGTCTTGTTATCTACAGCGAAAGCCTTCGCAACCAAAACAGCAGCTGCAGCAACAACGAAAGCAGCCGCAGCCCAAACTGCTCAGGCAACTGCTGCCACCACCAAAGCTGCCTTGGCAACAGCTACAGCAAAGGCTGAGACAGCCAAGCATTTAGCTTCTTCCTTGGGCACAGCTGCGGCAGCAGAAGGTGCTGCAGGCACAGCTGCAGCAGTTGGAGCTGGTGTCGCTGCTGGTGGTGCAGCGAGTGTCGCTAGCATCGGAGCCCCTGCCGCAACCTTCTTGGGCTCACAGATGCTTGGCAGCCTTGGCGTGTCGCTGGGTTTGATGTCAACACCTGCAGCTCCAATTGGCGTGGTCCTGGGATCAGGAGCCGCCGCGGCCGCGGCTGTCAAGCTTATTTGGGAAAGTGTCACAAGTGTAGATACAGCTGCAGCGCTCAACGCCGCACAAGCAGCAACATCAGCTGTTGCTCAGCAGCAGGCCGCGGAACAAGCAGCAAACGCTGCTGCTGCTGCCGCCATGGAAGCGGGGCAGGCTGCTAGTGAAGCATCCCAGGCAGCATCCCAGGCTGCAGCTGCTTTGAATGACGCTGCTGATTCTGTGTCTGCCCTGGAGGCGGCCATATCTTCCTTGTCAGCCACAGTGACAGCAGACGCTACTTTCCTCTTCGGTGGGTTTCTGCTGATGGCCTTGGTCCTGCTAGGATATGCAGGTCGAGACCTGGTGAAGACGCTCTTGGGACGGCTGTGGGCTGCTGAGATCGAAGAGCACCGCCGGCATAAGGCTACCTTTCAACACATGGAGCAGGTCATTCGCAAGGCGGCAGATCAATTGCTGATGGTTTACAAAAAGAATAAAGCCCTTGAGTCTTGCTTGGACATAGTGGTGGAAGTTGCTGAGGACCTTGCAGCAAAGGCAGAAGATGCCTTGGAGGCCAGATCTGAGGAGAAGGAAGCTGAAATGGCAACACTGCACGAGCAAGTCGAGCAACTTTGCACCCTGTACGAGAATGTGCCTAGGGCAATGGAAGTGTTCCATCATTCCGTGCGTGAGCTCGGCCCAGCTGCCGAGCATATTCAATCTTTTGCTTACGGATCTGGAGCGCATGAGCCTCCCCAGGAAGGCCGATTGCTTGAATTGACCTTTTCTGCCACTGACCAAAACCCAGTGCAAGAATATGCTGTCAATGCAGTTGACCAGGATTCCCAAGCTGAAGGACAAGTACAAGTATTCTTTTCTGACAGCGAGGTTGCATGGCTTGTCATGGTTTGTAGTCTTTGTGTTTTCTGCTTGTGTGCGGTCTTCTGGATTCTAATTTGGTATTGGTGGATCTTTCTTTCATACTTGTCCATCGAGAGCCGCCACTGCACAAGCCGCAGTGCATTTCTTGATTTTGGGAATTGGGGGGATGGTTCTGCCATGGTGAGGTTGATGAGGACGAGGGCTGGATTCTGATCAAGTCATCATCGTTGCCGCTGCCTTTGAGGTCTCCTTCCGCATCTGACTGCTTACCGAGCAGCACATACATTTTGGTGCCAGTGATGCAGGCTGCTCAGCTGGGAGCTCTCTTCGCAGCAGGGCCCAGCAGGGACGAGATCATCAAAGTCAGTGCGCAGGGATCAGCTGCTCGGCTCATGCGGAATTTCTGCATTGGTGGCTCTGCATCGCATGACTTCACAGCTGATCATCCACTGCGAGTGATGAGATCAGGCAACTGGATCCAGGAGCAGGCGTCAACTGTACGAGTTGGAGATATCCTCAACACTTCTGATGGCATGAAGAAGGTCGAGTCCACGCGCGCTCCTCGCATGAGTTCTGAACAGGTCTTCAGCCTGGACATCCAGCAGGGTGGAGAGGTGTATGTGTTCACGCCGACTTCAAATCCAGATGGCCAGTTGTCTTGGAGTGGCGTGGCAGTGTTGGGTCATGTGGAAAAGACCCAAAGAAGTTGTTCTGCTCCACCTCTCTCGAAAAGGCCATCCCGCGGCTCATGGCTTTGCAAGGGGAAAGCTCGCTGCTCCAACATTTGCCGCCTCTTCCAACGAGGCAAATGTGTCGATGGCGAGGACTGCCGCTTCTGCCACTTCCCCCACGCTGAGGAGCCCAAGCGCCAACCAAGAGCTCGCGACAGTGGAAGCAGCCAAGGTGCCTGAGAGTGGCCGACTCGACGTTTGGCCTGTTCATGTGTCATTTTCGTATGAGTCATACAGCTGAAGGTTGTCATGGATGGCTGGAACGAGCGCCGCTCGATGTGCCGTCAAATGCCCTGTGCAAGGCCAAGACAGCAAGACCGAGCGCTGCTCGATGCTTTCTTGGCCGGGAAAGCCCTGGGTCGGACTTCCTTCAGCGTCCAAAAAAATGATTCGCGCCTTAGCTTCCAGCTTGTCATCCGGTTCCAGTGATTTACGTTGAGCTTTCTGCCAGGTTCTCTTGCAAGAGCTTTGTCTTGGATATCCTGCATGTTGCAAAAACGGTTTTTCTGCGTTGGATAGTTGGCCTGAAATGTCCCCACCATGCAGCGCAACCCTTTCAGGTTGACTGGCTTCAGCCGATGGTGTTGTAGATCCTTTGAAGAGAAGGCAGCCGATTCGACTGTTGGACCACAGTCCTACCAGTGTTTTGCGCACATCTCAAGTGCACACATCACACACTTGTGGGGATTCGTGCCTGCTGCATGTACTTTTTGGATAGACTATCCAGTTTGAATGAAGCCCTAACAAGGGTGAGTGCTTGAGTTGCAAGGAGGATGACCATGAAAGCAGGATCAGGCTCAGCACACAGGCTGAGCAAACATTTTTGGAAGAAGTTGTGTATTCTTTGTGTACTATGCTTAGCTTTGCTGCATGATTGAATCATTGCTGTGTTATTCTGCCATTAAAACAGATGCAGCTTTGAGGAAAAGGGACAAAAGTGTGAGAGAGCATCGCACCTCTCATGGGGTTTGGCGTATGATGACGATACTCGGTTGCAGCACATTGGGGGCTGGAAGGCATCAAGGCATCGGCTGCAAGGAATCAGCACAGGAAAGAAAGCTTGCCGCACACTGCCGGAAGCGTCACACTGCTTTGCATTGCAATATAGCAGTTTTCTTTGTGGTCTCAAGGACTTGCAGTTTGCTCGTGTTTGTTCACTAAGGACATCACACTAACAACTTGGAATGGCACCATTTTTGGACCAATTGACACCGCCTATGATAACCGCATTTACTCCCTGGTGATTGTTTCGAGCTCAGAAAGCTGCAAGATGAAGTTCAAGAGCAGAAAAGAAATGGAATAAAGAAGGATAGGAGCAGGACTTCTTTAATGAGGCTAAGGCCCAAGAAAGAGCGACAGAGCTTTTGAGGTGACCGGGCCTAGCTATCCTGATGTTCTGCCTGAAGTTCGCTTCACGGCGGGCATCAATATGAATTGCGTGGAGCCCGACGGACAGGTGAAACCCACATGGGGAGTCCTAGGCCGGAGCTTTGAGTGTAAACGGAATGGAAAATAATTGATTTGCCGATGGGAGATGCTTTCGATTTTTGAGTGTTTGTTCTCTTTGTACATTGTACACAAAGGTTGGTTGGCCTACTTGCACAGGCAATTGGAAGCGAGAGTACACTATTGAGACGGTCTTAGATGCACTTCGACGCGAGATGTGTGGCTCTTAGTTTCAACAAGCTCAGTAGAAGAATGAACCAGCCCCATCAAGTTTCGCGCCGGTCAATTTTCCCAGGTGCAGCCCCAACAATCGCCATTTGGCACAGCCTGATACTGCGCCACCGGCGGGAAATAGCTAGAATCTAGCAGCAGCAAATGTCAGTGCCTTAGGAACGGGCTTTAGACCTGTAGACCTTTCAAGAGTTTTTCTTCAGACCAAACTAGGAATGAATGCTTCTTTGAAACAACAAAAGTTTCTTGCTTCTTTGAAACAAGAAGTTTCTTACTCCTTCCTCTATGTCTTTGTTTCTTTCAGGTTGTCTTCTTTTCTGTGTTCCCATTTTCGCTGGCTACTAGGATTGGAAGAAGCAGAAGAGGAAGAAAGCAAGAGGGGAGAGGGGCTCAAAGTTGCGGAACAGAGATCACAGCACTGAGGTGATAGGTGAGAATCACTTTGAGAACGTCGCTTGCTGAACAATTGTTTGCATCTCTTAAGTATTTTTGGTGTTTCGACATGAGTGTGTTTGCCAGGTTCAAGAGCTTGATGGGAGAAGCATGAAATGGGTTCTAGAAAAACTTCTGCAGCAAGTTCATATGATGAAAGCAGTTCAACACAAAGTTTTGACATGTGTTCAGTTTCGCATTGTTTGCTTTTTGCTTTGGAGATGCTGTTTCCTTCGGCAAATGTTACTGAGGCGGCGGAGCGTGAGAGGCTGACCCGGGAGGTGTCATGATCCACGAGATTCCATTTGTTTCATGAACTCAGACACATCCGGTCCTAGTGTTCTTTATGTTCATCCATAGGCTGTCTCTCCTTTAAGCCCTTCAACCACCCTCGGCTTTCTGAGATGTTGTCGAGTCCCCGCCTCTCACGGCTCTTTTTCTGTTTCACGCACCAATTGCCGTGGAAGTTGTCTGGGAGGATGGACATTTCAGTTGGTGCTTGTTAGGTCTTGTTAGGTCCTTGAAAACAAGAACGGTTTGCTTTCGCGCTTCCTATGAGGCCCAGACACTTTCCAAGTTTGCCAAACCCGGAGTTTTTTTGCCGAAGTACCGTGACGCCAGAAGATCAGGGCTTATGTTAGCCCTTTTCATGCAGAAGAACACAACGAAAGAATTGCACCCTACGGCAGAATGTCTGCAGAAAAGCATGCTCAGTGCAGTTTCGCCATTCAAACCTGGGGTCCCGAGTCTACGGTGTTGCGCCACGGCCTACAATGGGGCCGCAAGGAAGGGCATGACGCCCTGAAAGTTGGTCAGGTCCAAAAGCTATCAAAGTGAACAGAATTCTTCATGTGTGTGTTTTGCTGAATTGTTTTGACGAAAATTTGGCTTTGCATTGTTCAGAGTCAGGAAGTGCACCAGATATCTTTGTTACATTGAAGGTGGCCGTGACAAAAGAGGAGTTTCTCATCTGTCCGAAGCGACAAGATGTCCAAGCTGGGAGAGACACTTTTGGTTCCACACAAATGCATGTCCGCTTGCATTCCAAACCGACCCTGAATGTGAACCCCCTCTCAAAAGGTTCGCAAGGCTATTTTGCGGTCATTTCCCAGCTCCCTGCATGGCGCGATTGCGTGGACTGCCTTTCCTCTTGGGGGAAGTGAAGGAACTTGAGGTAAAGTCTTTTCCCTTCACATTCTTCAGAATGCAGACTCGATCGGAGTCCATTTCGTTTCGGATTCAAGTTCACTCGAGTCAGTCCGCAGGAAATGAAGCTGTGAAGTCTTTGTTCACGCGGAAGTTGTGGCGTCGGATGTGATGCTTTGGCGTCGTCTGAGTCGCTGGATTCCCGCATTTTTAGCGATTGGCCGAAAAAGAAATGATGTGACTAGTGCGTCTCGGGTAGTTTCCCAACATTAAACAAATGATGTGACC